GATTTGGAGAAAAGGAACCCTGTGCACACTGTTGGAGGGACTGTAAATTAGTACAGCTACTACAGAAAACAGTATGGAGGTGCCTCAGAAAATTAGAAATAGAGCTGTTATATGATCCAGCAGTTCTGCTACTGGTTATATACCAGAAGGAAATGAAATCAGTGTGTCAGGGAGACATCTGTACCCCCTTATAGGTTGTAGCACTCTTGACAGTTACTAAGGTGTGAATTCAGCTATATGACCATCAGCTGGTGAGTGGGTAAAGAAAATGTGGCACATGTACAAACTATTCAAACATTAAAAAGAATGAAGTTCTGTCATTTGGGGCAGGATGGACGGAATTAGAGATCATTATGTGAAGTAAAATGAGCTAGGCCCCCAAAGGACAAGTAGCACATGATCTCACTCATATTTGAAATCTGAGCCAGGTGTGGTGGTACACACCTGTAATCCCAGCACTTGGGAGGCTGAGGCAGGAGGATCGTTGCAGGTTTGAGGCCAGCCTGGGCTACAAGGTGAGCTCAAGGCCAGCCTGAACTGCATAGCAAGACCCTGTCTCAAAAAGAAAAAAAAAAAAAAAAGAAAGAAAGAAATCTAAAAAAAAGTTGAACTCATAGAAGTAGAGAGTCAGATGATAATTATCAGAGCCTGGGTGAGTAGTGAGGAGAGGAGGAGGAGGAGAGGCTGATGGGGCGGTACTAAGTTTCAGACGGGAGCTAGAAACACTGCCTTGATATTGTGCTGCAGCATATTGTAGATAGCAGTTATGTGCTGTGCATTTCAAACGGCTAAATTAGGAAAGGATTTTGAATGTTTTCACCATAAAAAAATGATAGGTGTTTGAGGAGACAGATGCCTTTAACTTGATTTAAACATTACACAGTGTATACATATATTGAAACATAACATTAATATATGCAATTTTTATGTATCAGTTAAAAAGTAAAACATGCTTGGGGATAGTAGACATTAAATTAACAGAATTATTTCAGTAAAGGAAGGGATAGGAGACATTGAGAGATTACAAAGGTCCTAGTTTTGTATGGAATGTTCTTATTTGCCTGAGGTCTTTTAAGGAATTAAACAAAACTAGGTCAAGCATTTAAAATTTTTTCTTGATATATTTGCAGTTAAGAAGGTTAAATGAGATAACATACATTTTTAAAAATTTTTTTTTATTTTAAAGAGTAAAAGAAGGATAACATAATAATGGGGGGCTTACCAAATTACAGACAAAGTGGTAAGAAATTATCAATGGTTATTGTTTTACATAATGTTATCTACAAGATAGTTTCTCAGGAAAACAAATGATAACATACATTTAAGTATTTGGTAGAATACATTTAAGTAGAATACATTTTGGTAGAATACATTTGGTAGAATACATTTTGATAACATACATTTAAGTATTTAAGTATTTGGTAGAAAGACAATCCTGATAAGGCGAGGTTCCTTTTGTTTTGTTTTGTTTTTGTTTTTTTGAGAAAGGGTTTCACTGCAGTTCAGGCTGGGCTTCAACTCACTTTGTAGCCCAAGCTGGCCTTGAACTCTCAATTCTCTTGCTTCAGCCTCTGAGTGCTAGGATTATAGGTGTGCGTCACAGTTGTCTGTGTAGTGTATACTGTACCATCCTTTTTTCTAGCTATTTGTGTACACAAATGTACACCCTTATAAAGTATTTGTTGTTGTTCTGTTCTTTATTTTAAATGTTATTACACTGCATGTAATTTTCTACAACTTATGTTTTTTGTTGGTTTGTTCTTTTCCCTGTACTGAGGATTGAACCCAGGGCTTTTGCACTGAGCTACATTCCTAGTCCTTTTTCAAATTTTTTATTTTGACATAGAGTCTTGCCAAGTTGCCGGGTTACTCAAGCTGGGCGCAAACTTGTGATCTTCCTGCCTTAGTCTCCCAAAGTGCGGGGATTACAAATATGCACCACTATCCTTGACTTATAACTTTTTCCTCACTCAATAAAGTATCTAATTTTTTTTGCTATATTGTATATAATAATATGGATAAACCATGATTAATATGATTAAGCCCTAATTTATTGGTCTCATAGCTACTGGATTTTTTTTTTTTTTTTTTTGTCTTTTTTGAGACGGTCTTGCTATGCAGTTCAGGCTGGCCTTGAGCTCACTTTGTAGCCCAGGCTGTCCTTGGACTCGCAGTGATCCTCCAGCTTCAACCTCC